GTTTTACCTTGATGCTATAGCTCATGGTAGCGTACTTGTGGATAGGTCTATGCTACCACTCACTGTGTGGGGGAAAGTAGAGACCGAAAAAATGAAGAAGTGGCTACAAAAAAGAGGGGGGGTTTGAAAGTGATAAGGTAGTTGTTATGAAAACTGAATATGGAGGTCTCGGAGATGATGCCAAAACAATGACTCACTTTGCTGAAGAGTTAAGTTCAATAAGAAAGGATTTGGCAACTTTGGTGGTCACTGTTGCTCGTATAGACGAATCGCTCTCCAAGGTTATGTCTGAGTTATCATCAAAAAATGAAGAGAAAGAAAGAACATTGCACACTTCATGCCCTAATGAACGAGAAGTTAAACTTAATAAGGAAGATGATAACATGTTTGAAATGGGGCGTGATGGGGGAAAAGAAGACCTTGGAAATACTAAACCTCCAAAAAGTAGGCCAAACAAAGAAGCCGGAACTCCCAACGAGCAAGATGACAATGTGAAAGGATTTACAACTGTTGCTAAAACTTCGGCTCCCTTTGTTGAAGTCATCCATGACAGAAAACATCCAAAACAACCTCAGAATGAGGTATGATGAGTATTGGTTGTAGCTTGTTTGTATTTGTTTTCATAATTTCACTTGTTTGTTTACATGTTTGGATGATGACAATTATCGAGTATTTGATTTGCAGACATCATTGTACTATGGATTATGTTGTAATTTTATTTGGTTTTGTCCCTATGTAATAACAAAGTTAGGTGTCCTTATTTTATGCAAATTCTTTGTATCATTTAATATATGTTTGTTTCAGTTATATTGATTTGTAAATGCTATTTCGTAATGATTTGTGAGCACTAGGATAAAATGGGTCAGAACGACGTAAAAAGTTTGTTCTTAGAGAATTGTAGTTCAACTTCAACAAGGGATCCGATAGTGACTCGTGCAAGAGCGATTAGAAAGCCGGGTCCCCACATGAGAACTCCTTATGAAGACATCAATGTGTTGAAAGCTAAAGCAAATGCAAAAACCCAACATGTAATTGCTCACGAGCGGATTATGAAGAGATTAAATGTCGGTCCATTCCGAATGAGCAACGATATCTCTGAAGATGATAGAGATCTACTAAGTTTTGCGTTTTGTTGCAATCCATTGGATCCAAATGTTTGGAGGTATACCCTGAACCAAATTTGTGAAATTAATTTTTATGTGTTATCATAATGACATAACAACAATTGATTAGAAGTTGTATTTTTTCTGTTTAACAGTGAACTACTCGTTAGCACTGGTGATGTAGCTATAAATCGTCGCCATTTTGGAAGCCTTGCCCCTGGGTTGCCTCTCTTTGATGATGTAAGGACTATGAATCGAATATATATTTAACTACTCATTAGTATATGTTTAGAATGTTGGTACTAGGATGCTAACAATCGTGTCTTGTCTTGTAATAGGTAATCAATGTAATGGCAGAATATTTATATGATACCACCTCTACAAAGTGGTTCCTACCTACGTATTTTTGGTCGGTAAGTAATTGGATAAGATTAATGAATGATATTTTTTGTGCTGCTAGTGATGTGTTATATCTCATAAACGGGTAGGCCGGCGCCAAGCTTGTACGTCCCAGTGATCGTACAACATCATGTGGTAGGACACAAAAGATTTGTCGTCTCGCAAGATTTAATGGGCGACTAAAGGATTGCATGCAGGTGGGTTTCGTATGCAAGCTCCAATAATATCAATTATCGGTGATAATGAACCTACCACTTTTTTGCAGATATATATTCCGATGCACGACGAAGTCATTGGTCACTGGTATCTTTTGATTTGTGACATTTTCCACAAGAAAGCTGAAATTTGGGACAGTTTACCTGATGTGCGTCACAATAAGAAACGCGAGAACGATTGCCATATTACTGTAAGTGGAGAAGCTTTTGTTCAATGTCATTATACGTATTTCTTTTGCTAAATGTTACTAATGTTGACTATGTTCTTGTGTATGCAACAGTTGTTGTACCTAGACTCTGTTTTTCATGAGGACATATTATCGGTATTTGGGACGGGGTGGACGTTCTCCTCCTTTTCTGTTGTGTCCCCATTGGATGCCAATCCCATCCAACCTAATGGTGTGGATTGTGGCATTTTTGTCATAAGACACATGCAATATTATCGTCAATTGTGGCATGACCGGGTATGCATTGCACATGTGCTATTTTTTTGGTAAAACTGATTAATACGTAATGAAACGCTAAATGTTTTTTTTTTTGTTGCAGTACGACTCTAATGTACAACGAATGCGACTTGCTATTGAGTTGCTCCGAAATGAAAAAAATCAATTGCGTGATGTGATAATACGTGAAACATTGAAAGTGATGGAAAATGCATCTGATTTTATGGCGAAGGGGAACAAGCTTGGTAATGTTGAGGCTAAGGACAAGGATGTGGCGGATATCACCATTACAAGAAAGAGGGTTTATAATCGGAAACAAAAACAATCAGCGGTGACTATACCAGAAATACGTACAGGTCGCGGTCAGCCTAGACCTCGGCGCCGCTAACAAGGTTGGGTAATGGGACTCTAATGACTGACCAGTATATATTTTTGTGACCTTAGATCTAATGCTGTGATGGTATTGGTTTTGGTGCATGCCCTATATATTTGGAAGGAGGGTCGCCATGGTATAACTTGACAACTTTTTTGTTTTTTGTAAAGTGATTGTCAAAGGATTCTGACCGTGGTTAGGTAGGAAACATTTTTTTGTACATCTAGGTCGAATGTCCTATTTGGTGTTAGTTTTTGGTTTCCATATTATAGATAATGACTAGCACAGGGTGTCAAAATGCAATTTGGTGAAGTTAATATGTTAACTTTGTTGGGTAACCATATGTACGAACAATTGATGAAGTTAATATGTTAACTTTATTTTGTGCTGCTAGCCTTGGTTCTGTTTCTATTGCAAGTTATGACGGTCATTCCAATGTTTTAGTGTTCAGCGGATTGACCATATTGGGTGACAATATTTGCCAAATCAGGGAACTGTAATTTATTGTTTCCGGATTCCAATTGCATTACAATGTCCAATTACTGCCTCCTGTTTGGCAATTGACAAACAGTATCTATGTATTTGTAATTCAAATGTGCGAAATCCTATTGCCTGTTTGGTAATTGGTAAACTACAGTGTGCAATGCCTGCCTCATGCTTGATCTTTCTCCCTTTCCATGATTGAAGTACCTAAAAGAAAAAACAATGACTTTTAGTTCAAATCATACTAAAACGTAAATAAAATAATGTTGTTACTTTATATTTAAAAATGAACACATTGCATTATGTAAAACCCCAAGTATTTGTGATTCACAAATGTAAGGATATCGTTTACTAATTTGTGGAATGCCTATGTCCATAATAGTGTACTGTTCGTGCTTATTGTTGCAACTATTTGTTCTTACAAGGACAAGGACCCAATTTACTCCTCCAAGGTTCATTCTCACCTTCACATTGTGTTGGGGGTCATTTCCCTTGTAAATTACAGTATTACGAGATTAAGTATGACTTTTACAATGTAATGGAATGAGTATGTCCATTTTAGTATAATACAAATCCTTCATGTTGTAATCACTACCTTGTGTACAAGGATAATGACTGAATTTACTCTGCTAAGGTTCATTCTTACCTTAACATTGTATTGGGGGTCATTTCCTTTGTAAATTACGATATTACCATAATAAGGATGGGTTTTACAATCTCCTGGAATATAACTATCCTAAATAGAGTAATACGAGACCTTCATATTGTAAACATTCATGTTTACAATACTAAGGACCCAATTTACCTTCCAAATGTTCCCCTTGACCCTAATGTTGTACTACATGTCTTTATATTTGTAAAGTACGATATTACAAGATTAATGATGCATTTTACAATCATATGGAACATACCTGTCCAAAACGAAGTAAAACAAGACCTTAATATAGTAAACGTTTGTGTTTACACGTATAAGGACCCAATTTACTTTCTCAATGTCCCTAGTTACCTTAATATTGTAATACATGTCCTTCTCTTTGTAAATTACGAAATTACCATAATAAGGATGAGTTTTACAATCTCCTGGAACATAATAATTCAAACAAATAGAGTAATACGAGACCTTAATATTGTAAACATTCATGTTTACGATACTAAGGACCCAATTTACCTTCCGAATGTTCCCATTTATCTTAATATTGTACTACATGTTCTTGTTTTGAAAAAAGGAATGCATGCACGTTTGCACTTTGAAACTTACGGTTTGTCAATTGCATTCATTGTTTTCAAGTTTCAACTCACTGTTTGGCAATTGCATTATTCTTGGTCAGTTTGGAATTTACTGTTTGTCCATTGGATTATGCTCTGTCAATTTCTTACTAACTCTTTGTCAATTACATTATTTCCTTTTCCTCCTGGGCGAGCCAATCTATCAGTGGCCTGTCCATCTTATGGTAACTTCGTTTCAAATTAACTCATTCATTCTATTCACATACAACAATAGACGATCATATTTGACATAATTATTGTTTGTACCAAAAATTAAATTTTTGCCTAAAATGGAAGATCATATGCCATGAACATCAAAATGGCCAAAATATGGCTAGACAGGCATTGCTGCAGTCAGATGGGGTGAGCTCAAAATTCAACTTCCAGCGCTCAAATCAATTTTCGTTCTTCATGAGAGTTGTTCATCTCTATGTCTACTGCACCATATCCAAATTTGGGTATATTTGGAAAAATTTGGAATCCTAAGAGCTAAAAACACCAGAAGCATACCAACAACAGCGAAAGCTGAAAACAGCCCAATTCTGGCCTAATTATGGCCCAATTATGGCCAGCTTCCAGTCCTCAAATGAACCTTCGTCCTTCATGAAAGTTGTTCAGTTGGATGTGTACTACGACATATCCGAATGTGGCCTCATTAGGATAAATGTGGGATCCTCGCGACATCAAACATCAGAAGCATACCAGCAACAGCGATGCACGAAAACAGTGGCAATTCTGGCCTAATTATGTCCCAATTCTGGCCAGGTTCCAGTCATCAAATGAACATTCTTCCTTCATGAAAGTTGTTCCGTTGGATGTCTACTACCACATATCCAAATTTGGCGTCATTCGGATAAATGTGGGATCCTCGCGACATCAAACATCAGAAGCATACCAGCAACAGCGATGCACGAAAA